AAAAAAAAAAAACAACAACAACATAAAATAGCATACATGTTTATCAGTCTGAGTAACAGGCTTACCTCTTCAGTATCTTGGTGAAGTCCATGTTCATTGTGAGCACATGAATCAAGGAGTTAAGGCAACAGGTCTGTCCAATGTTGTGTAAACCAACCAGGCCTATAAAGGGAAAAAAAATACTGAGGGCTAGGCCAGGCGTGGTGGCCTATGCCTGAAATTCCTGCATGTAGGAGGCTGAGGCAGGAGGATCATTGTGAGTTCAGATCAGCCTGGGTTACAAAGTGAGTTCAAGACCAGCCTGAACTGCATAGTGAGACCCTGTCTCAAAAAGACAAAAAAAAAAAAAAAAACCCTAGGGCAAGGGCTAGCTAAAGAGCTCAACAAAAATCAGATGTTCTTCTAGAATCTACTAAGGACATGAAATCCTGTGAAGGGAGCTTGCAAACACATTGGGGAGGAAATACCAAGCAAAAACCTTCGCAGATGTAAACAAGAGAAGCTTAACAGTCCATTAGGAAGGAGAGGTGTCACAAAGGTGTATTATTCACTGACAAATGCGAAGCACAAGCAGTTACTGGAAGAGCAGAGGAACAGAAGCATTGCTGGACACATGGCTGGGGGATCCCGGTCTCCTTCCACCCAAACCTCGCTGCAGCTGGGTCGGAGCGGGTGTCCTCGGGGCTCGGAGTGTGCTGGTCTACGCCAGACTCAAGCGGAGAGTGGAGGAAACCAGAAGACAGCTCTGGAGGAGATGCGCTGAATCTCAATTCAGTGAGACTGAAAGCCAGAAAGAACTCTGAAGGACATGGGCAAACTAAAAGGTAACATTTCCCTGGCTCACTAGCAGGCAGCCTTCCCTTTCCCAGCCTAAACCCAGCCTCAGCGGACTCCACAAAGGTGAATCCCTAGAAAGGAAAGGTCACTGCTAACCTCAGAGCTCCCAGGGAAAGGGCATTGGGAGAGGGCAGTACAAATGTAAAAGCAAGGATAACAGGTGCCTGCAGATGTCTGTTCCCGAATCGGCGGGAGAGCCCTGCTTCTGCACGGACTTGTGCAAAGGGAACAGGAGAGCCGCACACTAGGCCTGAGTGCTGCTGTACGCCAAGCACTGGTTTACGCAGCTTCCACGGATGATCTCATTTGTCTGTCCAACAACCCTGTATGCTCAGCACTATTTTTTTTTTTTGGTTTTTCTCCGGTACCGGGAACCAAACTCACGACCTTGCGCTTGCCAGGCAGGCGCTTTTGCCGCTGAGCTAAATCCCCAGCCCCGCTCAGCACTATTATTATCGCCATTTCACAGATGCAGAAATGGAGGGACAAGCAAGCAGGAGCCATGAGCCATACAGCTGTGCTTCTCCAGGGAATACTGAGCGTGCAAAGCTTTTCCGGAAGGCGGGAAGGAGAAAAACGAGAGGCTCTACTGACCGCGAGGGTGGTCCCAGGCGCTGAGCTCTCTGGGCGGCTGTCTCTTCCTCTTCATGTCGCTGTTCTCGCCCTTCTCAAAGGACTGTCCTGAGCGCTGCTGAGACTCCGCCAGGGCTGACTGGCAGGTGTCCCCCGGGAACCCAAGCGTCATGCCCGTCCGCAACTGCCTCAAAGCTCCCTGAGTCAAGGCTGCCAGGCTGCGTGCAGGATGCCACAACTTCACTTCCAGGAGGCGCTCACAGGTCCAGGTGCGGTGGAACGCCCTGAAGACACACAGCAGTCAGATAAGGACAGGACAGGGGCAAAGTGTATTGATGCCGGCAGCTCTGTGTTCAAAGAGCCAAGGTCTCCGGGTGGTGATTGTTTGGGGAGACCAGCTCGTAATGCCCGAGGGCTGGAAATTACACTGAGGCGACATCCCCGGCCCCGAGCCCCCAGGCTGCCCTCTGCTGTCCCTCAGAGCAGCCTGTTGCATCTGAACCCCGAGCCGTCTTCGTCCCCGTGGAGTCTCTGCTCTGGTAAATGGCGTGGGTTCCAGACAGGAAAGCTGAGCATCCGCTCCTCACTGCCTTCCCCACTCACCAAGGACTGTCAACTCCACTGCTTAACGGCTGTTCATAAGCAAATTCTTGGCTACCCACGTCCCTGACTTCCTGGTTTATACCTACCAACATCCCAGCCACAGTAAGGCACTCCTGCTTCTGGGGAGCCTGCTCTCTGTCCTCCAGAGGGTCTGGGTATTTCCCATCCTTTTTTTTTTTTTTAGACAAGGTTTCGCTATGCAGTTCAAGCTGACCTTGAGCTCATTTTGTAGCCCAGGCTGGCCTCGAACTCGCAACGATCCTCCTGCCTCAGCCTTGCGAGTGCTGGGATTACAAGCGTGCGCCACCACGCCCGGCTGTTTCCCATCTTAACATGCACTTGGTACACGAGCTGTTTAAGTAACTGGCTCCCCGTGCCTCCTGCCAGGAAAGTCTGTCTGCTGTGGACGTGTCGGTTCACCACTCACACAGACCCGGGTCCCCACGCTGAGCGGAGCGGGGCCGGCTGACAGCTCCCAAGCGAGCCCTCTCACACAAACCAGAGGTCCACGAGCATAGCAAACTCACGGCTGTAAAGGAGGACATGTTAACTCAGTACTCAAATTCCCTGGGTTCTTTACTCCCTCCTGAGGACGCAGACCTGCGCCACCAGGAAATCCTCCCCACACATAGTCTAGAAGCCCAGGCGGGGGCCTCCCAAGCATGAGGCAGTGTAAAACTGAGCTTGTTGAAGACAAAAGAGCACAAATGGAAAAAAGGAGTGTCCTGAGACACAGCAGCTGATATGGAAGATCCCGTGTTGGGGAAAGAGGATGTGAGAAGCGCACGCAAAGGACTAAGCAGATTTGCATATGCAAAGCCGAACTAAAAATGGCTGACAGTACAAACGTTCCAGAATTTTCATTTTATGAAAAACAAACTGGGCCAGGCATGGTGGCACACGCCTGTAATCCCAGCACTCGGGAGGCTGAGGCAGGAGGATTGCTGTGAGTTCGAGGCCAGCCTCTGCTACGTAATGACTTCAGGGCCAGCCTGAACTACATAGTGAGACCCTATCTCAAAAAACCAAAAACTAAAAAACAAACTGGTTAACAAGTAGTCCTGGAAACTCAAATGCAGACCATAATGAGATATCATTTTACACCATTCAACTGAGAACAATTAGGAATGCTGATAGAATCTGATCTTTGCTCTTTACACACATGTACTAAATGTGCACAATTTTTATGTCAATCAAAATAATACTGTATCTATAAAAGAATTCTAAGTGTTGGAGGAATGTGGATAGATAGGATCTTTATATTCTACTAGGCGATGGGTATGATACGGTCTAATCACTTGGGGAAATAATTTGGCATCAATGTTTAAACAAGCACTTAACCTCAACTCTTAAATCCCAAGAGAAAGTCTTGTCTCTTTTTAAGTGCTGGGGACTGAACTCAGGGCCTTGCTCATGCTAGGTAAGTGCTCTGCCACTGAGTTACACTCCCAGCCTCCAAGGCAAATTTTCACATGTATTCTTGGAGATATATAACAATATTCAACTTGGGATATAGCTCAGTGGCACAAGTGCCTGCCTGGCAAGTGCAAGGTCCTGAGTTTGATTCCCAGTACAAAACAAACAAACAAATGCAATGTTCATAGCATCAACTGTTTTTATAATAAGAGAACTGATATTAATGAATAAGAACTACAGTAAGCTGGGCATGGTGGCGCACGCCTGTAATCCTAGCACTCAGGAGGGTGAGGCAGGAGGATCGCTGCAAGTTTGAGATTGGTCTGGGATACAAAATGAGCTCAAGGCCAGCCTCAACTGCACAGCGAGATGCTGTCTCAAAAAGACCAAAAAAAAAAAAAAAAAAAAAGAACTACAGTGCATGTCCCAACATGCCAAATCTTAGAAACACGAAATGGACTCAAAAAAAGCAATTCTCAGGATAAAAATACATACTATCCATTCAAATTCAAAGTCAATGGGGTATTACATTGGTTTGTATCAATAAATGTATGTGTGTGACAAAACTTGTTAAGTATATCAGGAAAATCACAAAGTTCAAGCAGTCACCTTGGGGGAAGGCAGGGCAATAACACAGTATCACTGCCTGTCGCATTCTGGTTTAGCAATGAGGGGGTTGCATGAATATTCATTTTATTATAATTAGTTAATGAATTGGACCTTAGAGTTAAGGCTAATGGTCTTAGGAAAACAGACGAGGTTCGGCACAGGCCTGAAGAGCTCATACTTTTCCCTGCGCAGAGCACACGGCCACCCTAGCACGGCAGGCAGCACACAGTGGACGACAAATCAGAGTCACACATCACTTCACAGATCGCTCCTCAGGGACATTCAGTTTTGACGGCGACTGCTGTGGATGGAGGAAAGCAGAAACCAGAGGATGGGAATGTAGACACTGCCCCCCAGCGGAATAGGGGAGGAATACCCAGGTAGAAGAACTGAAGATTGCCTAGTAAGGTACCAAGAAAACTTGGTACCTTAGCCTATTAGCATATTAAACATCAAATTAGCATGTTAAACAACAAATTAGCATGTTAACAACAAATTAGCATATTAAACAACAAATTAGCATATTAAACATCAAATTAGCGTGTTAGCATATTAAACAATAAATAGGGCTGAGGATATAAATAATAAGATATAATGTGAAACCATAGTCATGGATATCTCGGTTGTTCCCAGATGCAACCAGGTGTGTGCTGAAGCAGAACTGTATTCAAATACATTCTACACACTGCCTGCAGACGTGAACGTGTGGCTTCAGTATTATTGTTCAGTCAAGATCTAGTCCTTGGCATCGGTTTTGGCCTCAGCCTTTAAAATGACAAACAGCCAAATGCCACAGATATAAAGAATATTATATAGAATATATAAAATATATTCTATATGTTCTAAATATTCTTTATATAAAATATAAAGTGTATGAGTTAAAAATCTGATACACTTTATATTTTAAGGTATAAAAGCATAAGTTTGACTGCAAAAAATAAGATGCTGAAATTAGTGGTTTGGAATAATTTTATAACAATAATTCCAGTAATAGAGATACTGTGTTAAAACCTTAAAAAAGAAGTTGAACATTAATACCTTAGAGAGTTTAAATTTGCTAAGTAGTTTATGAAGAATGTTTTATCCTTTTGGAATTAACAACTATTCAATTAAAAATAATTCAAGGAAGAGTAAGTTAAGATTCTCTT